AATTGAACTGGAAAATCTTCAGTACTATTGTCAAACCGTACCCAGAACATGCTCAGATGAAGAACCGATTCCTGGATGATGCATTCACACGCACACCCACTCACACACACACCCACACACACATATACTAATAGGCAAGATGGAAGGACGTAAAACCGAAGAATGTAAAAGAAGCCCTATTCTTTTTCCAAAGAGAGGTTTGACATTGTGTGGACCGGAAAAAAGGACGATGAAAAGGAGGATAATAAAAAAAAATCCTTGAAAACCATACCGAAACAGTGCCCTTAGGAGTAGAAAATAATTTATTGGATCGCGAGCTCGTAAAGCAAGTTCCATAGATTGTAGGACCATTGTTTGGACATACGGCTGAAACAAAGGAATACGAACACCACCCGTACAACCGGTGCGGATTTCCTGTACTAATAATGTATTATCAAGACCATACCAGGCTATCTATGGGGAAATGCTGTTAAACAGAAACACTTGTTTTATGCTCATCGGCTGTAGCGTACAATCCACTCAAACAGTATGCCTTTTTGTGAACGGATCACCTTTTCAAAAATGGCTGTGGACCGGGAGGGGGTCGAACCACTTCTCTTCAAATCCGAACGCAACATGCTATCCACTATACTACCAGTTCTTGCGCTCCAGGACAAGCCTGGCAGCACTTCTGTGAGTTTTTTCTTTTCAAGGCAAGATACATCTCTCCTTTTTTGGCTGTCTTCCATACGCAACATACATTTTTTCTTTGCGGCGGCTCCCTTACCGTTTTTTTTGCGGATTTCCCGCAACATCGCTAAACAAAACTGGAAATTCTGCGACATCCCTCTTGCATCTCTCATACGAGTTAACTAAATGCAGTGGACTGAACATCTCTCTCTCTCGCCCTCTCCTCCCCGCCCCCCCCCCTTTCCGTCGCCCATGCTAATGAAATGACTGATTCACTGAATAGAGAAATCAGTCTAATTACTGTTTTCAAGAGGAAAGTGCCTACTCGAAGCATTCGTTCATTTTCTGCGCATCCTGGAGGTTGCGAGCCAACCGACGAGAAAACAATCTTGAAAAGCTTCAACCAAAGAAATGACCTTTCCGTACTCTCTGGAACGATTGTACTTGAAACAGCTGTCAATTACAAGACAAAGTGTTTGTAAAATCATAAGAAACCAAAATTTTCAGAACTTAAGTAAAAAATTGGAAAATACCATCTAAAGCAGGTTAATTTGCAAATTTATTATTCAAATTATGTTAGGAGTACCACTGAAATTATAAGAAGGGACCACTCCGCCCAGACAGGGACCACTCCGGAGAAAACAAGACTGAAAAATGAATTTTAAAAGAATATCATTTGAAAGCGACCAATATAAGAGTGAACGCTATAGATATAATTTATCATGTTTATTTATTCATAATTATTATCATGAAAATTCAGAGACGTCGGTATCGTGAGTATCAAGGCAGTTAATTTGCCATTCTATCAATAATTATTATTAAAAACATTCACATGTGCTAGCACCATAAATGCCAAATTCGCTAGAATCTGCATCAACCAAAATTTCCGCGTAAAATATAACTTTTTTCGGATGAAATTTTTTGCGACTTTCTCACTAAATCTATGAATTTCCGAAGAAATTTTTTTCCAACTTCCTAATTTCATGCCGCAACTCTTATTCTGAACAGGATAAGCGCATCAACAACAGGAAAACACGGATATGCCGTTCGCAGCAAACAAAAGCGTAGCTTACCAGCCAAATCCGGTAATTTGGTCATCAGGAAACGGATCAGTATGTCACCGAAATTTGCCGATGTTACCGAATTCACTAATAATGAATTGCAAATTACTTGTAGCGCATAGTTCGATTCAAGCCTATTGATGAAG